AGTGAACTAAGTAAATATATAATTACCCAATAAATAGCAATATAAAATTTAATTTCTCTTTAGTTGTAATTTTTGGTTGCCTCTTGACTTTTTCCATATTATAATTATTACTACGGAGCGATTTATCTTCTTCTTGCTTCTTGACATTATCTTTTGGTTCTTCTTGTTCCTCTTCTGCTAATTCTTCTTTGATCCTATCCATATTATTATTATCCATATTATTGATGAGTAATTTAATATCATTATTGATGATTAATAATCTAATATCATCTTGCTTTTTGTCATCATTGTTGATTAATTTATTATTTTCTTGTTTCTTGTCGTTATCTTCTTGCTCCTCGACTTTTTCTTCTTTTTTGACCTCATTGATAATATTATTATAATTATTGATGATTAATTTATTATCTTCTTGTTTCTTGTCATTATCTTTCGATTTATTATTCCCTTGCTCCTCGACTTTTTCTTCTTTTTTGACCTCATTGATAATATTATTATAATTATAATTATTGATGATTAATTTATTATCTTCTTGTTTCTTGTCATCATCTTTGGATTTCTTATTCTCTTGCTCCTCGACTTTTTCTTCTTTTTTGACCACATTGATATAATAATTATAATTATTGATGACTAATTTATTATCTTCTTGCTTCTTGTCATTATCTTTCGATTTATTATTCTCTTGCTCCTCGATTTTTTCTTCTTTTTTGACCTCCCTATCCATATTATCGTTATTGATTAATTTATTATCTTCTTGCTGCTCAACTTTTGTTCCTTCTTTGACCTCATTGATAAGATAAATATTATTATTGATGATTAATTTATTATCTTCTTGCTTCTTGTCACTATCTTTCGATTTTTCTTGCTCCTCAACTTTTTCTTCTTCTTTGACCTCATTGATAATATAATCATTATTACTGGTGGTTAATTTATTATCTTCTTGCTTCTTGTCATTATCGTTCGATTTATTATTCCCTTGCTCCTCAATTTTTTCTTCTTTTTTGACCTCCCTATCCATATTATTGTTATTGATTAATTTATTATCTTCTTGTTTCTTATCATTATCTTTTGATTTATTATCCTCTTGCTGCTCAACTTTTTTTCCTTTTTTGACCTCATTACCCAGATTATCATTATTGATTAATTTATTATCTTCTTGCTTCTTGTCACTATCTTTCGATTTATTATCCTCTTGTTGCTCAACTTTTTTTTCTTTCATTAATTCTTCTTCTTCTTCTACATTATCTATCTCAGGTTCGATATTACCATTGATCTTAATAATAGGAATTTTAAATGATGGCGATTTATTCACCATGGTAACATTATAATTTATTTGGTTTATTTGGTTTATTTGATTTATTTGATTTTTTTGATTTATTGGATTTATATGATTTATTGGATCTATATGATTTATTGGTTTTAGATGATTTATTGGATTTATAACCGGTGTAACTTTTTCAATGGTTTCTTCAACAGTATCAGTTATGATAATAGCACGAGTGCCATCCGAACGAATTTCATCAGCTACTGTGCGTGTTTTAGACCTGGAGCGCACCATAGAAGTCATTATGAAAGTAAATTATTAATTTTCCGATGAATGAAGAAATTTTATTCAATTTCGTAAATTATTTTTTTTATTTATGTAATCATTTTATTTATATAAACATTTTATTTAATAATCAAAAAATACAAATTAGATATGTTCAATGACTTTCATTGTCAAAAAAAAAATTCAGTACACTTAACACCGCATCAACTTTAATACGAATTAGGCAATTTATTGTTCAAGTAATAAATAACTAAGCCCATTATCATTATCAATCTACATTATTTATCAAACAGTTAAGGTTGGTTATAAATTTTTTTGGAGTTTTTAAACAAAAGATATATCGGTGCAACAAAAAATTATCATGGAGAAAACTATTGCTATATATGAAAATTTTCAATTGATGAATTCACCTATATCACTATGAACCAGAGAAATGTCGATCCGTTTATTATATTAAAAGATCAACAAAAAAATCCAAAATCACATGTAGTGATGTGAAGTTGTTATTTATTATGGAATGAATGATTTTCCACCCAATTACAATGATTATAGCATTCATTATTAATTCCCAAGGGGAGAGAACTTAAAATTATCCAAAAGAACTTGGAACTTTCTTAAAAGGAAGGTCTGGATTATTTTAAGGAAACTTAAATTAAGAGCTACATCATTAAGAGTCCCGGAATAAGGGAAGATCTTAGATAGAGAATTGTTTAATGAATTTGTACTTGAAATTAATTCTGAAATGAACAATAAGATAGATATCTTCGAAAGTACATATTTGAGGAAATTATTATTATACTTTAGCATGCCCTTTAACATAAATTATTATTACTACAAGCAAAAGCATTTTTTATTATTATTATTTATAAATTAATATAATAAAATGAATGTTACACATAAAGTTTTTTTTTCACACACATTATAATAAATATGTATGTTCCCTGAGATTTATTTTATTTTATGCACAAAAAAATTTATCTTATGGTGCATAGGGTTTGTGTGTGACCCCTTGCGGTATCCGTATATACAAACCTTAGTGGTGGTACAGGACAATGATTTCCGCGATGATGAAACACTAATTCCGTCTGTGCTATGTGGTAATAGTCCAGGACATCTATAACGGTTAATGATCCTCACATGACTATAAAGTTTATAACTCCTATTAAAAAGAAAAAGTAAACTGATAGAATTAAAGCTAAATACCTAAGCTTTGTTTCATCGGTTTACTTTTTTTGCAATTGTGTAAACTCATGCACATACCAATCCTGAAGGGAAAGCACAACATACTAATGCTTATACACAACATATTAAAATGTTGTAATTCCAAACATTCCAAATATTCATTCTCCAATATTCTTCAATATATTGTTTTATGATTATATACGTATAAAATCCTGATTGGTGACACAATAAAACGGGTAACTGGTAAAATAGTCCGTATTTAGTAAAGTATCAGCATTTAAAGATTGGCAACATTTCCGATTATTTGACTTACTAAAAAAAGAAAATATATTAATAATAAATAAAAGTTTTTTTACTTTAACATTAATATTATATTGTACGCATGCGTGTTCAAAAAAAATGTTTATTTTACATTTAAGGAAA